TATATATATATAATACGGTACACTGTAACAATTTCTTCAATTATCATATACATAACTAGAAACTAGAATAGATACTTACAAGTGATTACTTTTTTTAATTTTCTTTCAGTATGTATCACTTTGTAATACGGTTGTATTTATGATATATTAATATCTCAGCTGAAGATTAGCTTTAACATACACAGGATGTCCCAAGAAAGATGTGAAACAGCAGTAGAATTCTATTTTTGAAATTATCATCATAGTTTTAAGAACTGAATAAACTAAAAACTGAATAACTAAAAAAATAGGATTCTGATTTCAAAAACAAAAAGATATAAGACAATACACAAACAATTTTTGCAACAGTTCCTATCATACTCTGAAAATTTATTTTATTAAAAAAAAATTATGCTGATTGCTAAAAGCAGTTGAATATTCACATGAATAGTAAATGTTCAAATTGTTAATTCTCAAAGGAATTAAAAAAAAACTATTTTCGATATAAAAATCAGTATCTAGTCTCTCTTTATTTACTTTAATTGTTTTGCAATAATTTTAATGATCTATTTTCCTAACAAAATTTTTACTAACTTTAAGAGATCTGTCGACTGTTCTGGTTTTTAAAAATAACATTGTTTATTGTTTAATTATTATTCGAACAATAATTCTTATATATGATATAAAAATTTTCGTTCTTTTCTAATGTTCAACATTAACTCTTTTGTTAATTGATTATATAACCTTGATTCACTGCTAAAACATCTGTATAAAACTTATTTGCATAATATTCTTCGCTGTCACTTCGCATTTTTTTGAGACAGTTCCTATAAATAAAAAGAAATAATATATGAAATAATATGAAATTGCGTCTAAACACTCATTCAACAAGGTTCGCACTAACAATATGTTTAACAAGGTTATTCTACATTAAAATTTAGCATGGGATAATGTACATGAAATAACATTGTACAATTTATGATCTAATTAACGAGTTATAGATAGTATAGTGTAGATTCTACTTTTCATCAGTGGAGACAATTATTTCTTGTTATGTCAGAATTTTTACATATACTCCTTAGACATGTATTGAAACATTTCCAGTATAACATTCTTTCAATAACTTATCCATAAAATACTTATGAGAAACGTAAAATAATTGTTTACAAGTACTTCTTTTAAAAATTTGAAAGAAGTAAAAATTAACTCAAAATATGAGATAAATCATAATACTTATTTTTGCTGCTACCTGTGCTGTTGAACAAAAAACGTTAATTATCCTATCATAAGATCTAATATAAAATTTATAAGTTTCGAGATTTAAATTTCTAATCGCTTTGTACGATTAAAACAAATCAGGTTGAAAGTATTT